GGGAGTGTATTTCTTCTGAATGACTGTCAGCATCAAGAAATGGTGGAGACAGCTTCCCAGCCCAATGGTTAGAATGTTGAAGGGGGAAAAAAAAAGCCAATACAAATGTTGATGAGCTAAAGCAAGTCTGTGATCACAATCAATAGAGTCATATGCGACACCACTTGCAACCTTGGGCAAACTTTTAAATTAGTTATTTAAACTGTAAGGGCTATTAGCTTTGATATTGACTCAGTTGGATATTCCCACTGGTTTTCCTCTTTGGCCCATCCACTCTTAGCAATCCCATGGGTTGGTCTTTCATGTTGTGAGCTATCTTTCCGCATGGTTACAGATCCCTTTTCTAGTTTCCTTTTCATTTTTTTATGCAAATGTATAGGATACTATTGGTTTTTCATTCATTTCATACTCATCATAATAGTCATAAACATTTAGTGTTTATACTTACAGAGCTCATGTGTCTGGGCAAATCAAATATTGAAGATGTCAGAATAAGAACAGTATTGGTAACCCTATCAAGTTTCAAACAATTCAGGGAGTTGCTTTGGCATTTCACCCATTTTTCAAGAGGTGCACAGATGTCAAAGTTCGTGATTCTTTGGTTAGTTATGCTTACAACAAACCTGCTGCTGGAGTATTGAAATGCATTCCTGGAGAAGGCATTTTAGAAATCCTATTTAAATTCACAGGAGCAGCTTGTAGGAAAACTGACTAGGAGGTACTAAAGAAGGGGTAAGAGTGTGCCGAGAGTGCCAACAGTGTGCTTCTTTGAGGGACCATGGCCCTGTTGGTGGCCCATTTATGGAGGTACAATCATTTGCTGAATGGACTTATGTGGTAGTCACTGATTTTTCCCATTGCTTTCACTACAATCAGTAGTCTGTACATGAGCCTTCCAGCCCATCTCCAGGTCTGTTTAAAGGGTACATTCCCAGAAGTAGGACCACTGGACTAAAGGGTCTGTGCATGCTTTGTTTGGGGGGCATGACCGAACCCCACAAAAATTGCACCAAGCTACTTGCTCACTGAGATGCAGAATGCTTTCTTTACAAAATCTTACCAGGCTCAGATCTTTGTGCAATGGAACTTTAGCTTTGGCCTAATTTGTATTCTTTTAACGAGTAAAGTTGAGAATCTTGTCAGAGTTTCATGAACCATCTGTATTTTCTTTCCTGTGAGTTCTTTGTCCATATCTTTGGCCTCTTTTTCCACTGGGTATCATATATTTTCCCTTTTTGACTTAAATTAAGATGATGAAACTGTTTTACTGTAAAATGTTACCATTTTTTCCCCTGGTGCCTAAGTTTTATTTTAATGTGTGTGAGCATGTCATTATTTTCTTTTATGGTTTCTGGATTTTGTATCACCCTTCCACTCAAAGATAATTTTAAAAAATCTTGGTTTTCTTTGAATACTTTTATGATTTAACTATAGAGAAATTAAATTTGTGATTTATCTAGGATTGATTGCATATAAGGCATGAGATAGGAACCCAGCTTGCTTTCTTCTGGATGGTTGCCCTGGCACCCCAATGCCACTCCCTGGGAACCTTCTGTCTATTGCCACACATGACAACATTCGTCACTGGAGAAGAAACCTTTTTCTCCTGTCTCCTGGGTTCACTGCCTGGGCCTGCAAATTGGCCTGACTGAGGAAAGATGTTCCACAAAAAGAGAAACCAGTTAATATATGCAGTGATGACCAGCTCAAGGGCAGCTCATGTTACATACCATCTTAACCTAAAAAACAATAGACCTGCATTGACAAATGCAGTGACAAGATTCAGGAAAAGGACATTGAGTTTCTAGGGCAGCAAATTGTGGGAAGGTAAATATATAGGAGAATTAATGGAAAATAAGAGTCAGCTGTGCTGTTTGCTATGTAGATTCTCTGTCATGTTCCTGGGCTGGTAAGTGTCTAGAGTTATCTCAGATGATGAACTTCTATCCTTCTGAGTGGGAGGGGACAAATTCATATCAAGTTTTAGGGAAATACTTGGAGAGCAAAAGAACTTTTCTAGTATCTGCTATTTCTCAATTGCCTTCAGTTCAAAATAATCCTCATGCCAACGTAACTATTTGCTGATGTTATATTCTGCTCTCCTTCATAACATAAATCATTCCTTTCTGTTTCTTCATGAAATGAACTGCAATTTGCCCTTATGTAATTGCTGTTTTTCCCCTCTGAATAGAATATAACTTCTGAGGCAGAAATCACCCTGATACTCTATTTTTTTTTCATTGTTTTAGTCTGTAAAGTGTGTGTGTGTCTGTGTGCAGAGATGGAGCAGGCTGTGATGAGGTAGATGAGGAGGGAGAAAGATGGTGTGACATGATTTCAAAGAATCCAGTTCTAAAACCCTACATTCAGATGAAAAACTGATTACTGTGAAAGGTCCTGGCTGTAATGATGACAGTTTTAAACAGAATGAGGGAAGATGGTGAAATCATGAGAATGTGAGGCTTGTCATTTGGAACAGGCTCCAGTTACTTTCAAATGCCCACAATGGCCAAATACCCATTTCCATATTAACTGAGCTCTGAGGTCATAGTCTGTCTTACTGAAATGGGATGTATCAAACAGAATGTTGAGAAGCAATCTCTATTATTAAAAAACAGGGCAGAATTGCTACCTGGTACTCAACCAGAATTAAATGGAGTTTCGCAAAGCTAAATAATTTATTGCTAAAGGAACAACTTGAAATAGTATTGCTCACCAAAATGCACCGTATTTACCCAGCAAGGAGGGACAATGAGAATCGTTATATTTAAAATTAGACTTTGGAGTTAAAGTTACTAATTTCTGTCATCTAAATAGTGCAATTATTAATAGCTCTGTCACATTTCTATTTCAAACAAATAGATACATCATCCTGGCTGAAATGAGGAGTCACACACATGAGAGCATGAGAAACAAATCTAAGCCAGTAATGAAGGGAGAATATTTTTCTGAAAAGCAATGTGATTTGCAGACCTCCTTGGGGATTCTCAAGGGTCTAAAAATGATGCTTAGGACTTTCTTGAGGACATGAACTCTGAGAAATTTATGGAATTTCTGACATTTGCAAATTGTAAGGACAAAAGTTTGAATCTCTGAATGTGTCCTAAGATCCTCTGCCTCTCTGTGAGGGACTTGTATAACAGAGTGTTTATAATTTGCAGTGCCTTCTCCATGACCCCATTCCGAGTGCTCACTCACTTCCCGTTCCACCTCCCCATCCCAGACATGGCACAGAAGTAACAAGGCTACGATGAAGTAGGCTACGAGAATTTCCGGCTCTGACTAGATCAGACAGTGGATGGCATCTATCTTATATAATAGGTTAGACATTTGACAGCTACCCTTTTGGAAACTGTCATCCAAGACTGATTTTTTTCCCCTCTTCTATGTCTGTGGATGGGAAAAGAAATCTGATGCTTATTAGGGATATTTAAGGAATGACTTACAGGAGACTTTCTACAATTTAACGTCTTTCTAGCCTGCTGGGACCCTCAGAGATTGACCGACTTTGCTCAGCTAAATATATCACACAATGTAACAAGCACGGGACAGAGATGCAGTGCACTTTTTATTTTTTTAATTAAACAGATAAAGTACAGACACTGGGTTTATTAGTTTTCTAAAGAGACAACTTGACTTTCAATAAAGAATTTGTTTTTAGAATGCAGGTTGGATGATTATTTTGAAAGAACTATGGTTGGACAATTATTGTAAAATAAATGACAATTATTATAAAATAAATAAGCAACAAAAGCATTTATTTCTTTTAAATAAACTTTTTCAGAGTCATGATAATTCAGTTTCTGGTTTTCATGGCATTTGAACTTTTAAAATAGTATTTCTTTCCCCACTCCTTGTAATGAATTGAACAGCATTTTGTGGGGGCGGGGCAAAGCTTATTTTAATAGTCTCTTACCTGATTTGACAAGGCCATGTTTGTCTTAAAAGCATTATATTGTGATGTAATTATTTTTCCTCTAGATGATAGAAAATAATTTCATGTGGTATTTAGCCTAGAAACCTTGTGGAATTTTGCTGAAGAACCCCTATCTTTTTTTTTTTTTTTAATTGTTTAGTGAGTCTCCAAGTCCCTGTTTGTTTATTTTATCCTGTGCTCTCTCACTAGGTATGGGAGTTGAGAAGTTCACTAGGCTTCTTTCTGGGCTCCTGCCTTTGGAGCCTCCTTGTACATATGTCCCCTCATTCCTCACCCAGTCACCAGCCTGAGCTAGGTTTGCTTTCAGGTGCCTCCCTCAGCCATGTCCTCCCTGGTCCCAAGCCCCCAAGGGACACTGCCTCCAGTATCTGGACCACAGCAGCTTCCATTTGGGATGGCCTTTCCCTCCCCCACTAGCCTCATGCTGACCCAAGCAGACCGTGGTCAGATCCTCCGCTGCTGGGCCCTTTGTCTGGCACACCCCCTCCCCCGCATGCCTGGCCAACCCCCCAGCCTGCTTCCTGGGGACAGTCTGGCACCCCTGTGGCCTGAGCAGCATGGGCCTCAATCTGGGCATCTGTGGTCTTCCTGGGTGCCTCTCTTTCTCTAAAGCCCTATTGGTTTATAATATTTCCCTAGCTGCAGAAGCTGGGAACAAAACTCAGAGAACTGAATCTCTTAAAATTGCATTCTGCCTCACTCAGATGGGTCTTGATCGATAGCACGCTTGATTAGCTTGGGCATCATGCCACAGCCGTGGCCTGCAGGAGAACGTCGGCGAGTACTAAGTTTTAAAATAGAATCTTAACGAAACTAAAAGAAAAAAAAGTATGACATTCGTACATAGTCCACCCTTAGGATGAGGCAACAGAAGCGCGGGATGTGCCTGGGTTTGTGTTTTGCTGGGTTCTGCTGTGGAGGGGAGGCTGGATGACGCCTGACTTGGCAGGTCTGTTCGCTATGCGGAAACCCATGGCTATTTTTCCCCTGGGGAGGTGCAGTGTGGCCTCTGGGGTGTGTGCTCTGACTGACTTGTGACAACCCATCTCTCCTGTCTCTCAAGGGAAGCCATCAGCCGCATCTGCGAAGCCGCCCCTGGTGCCAAGGGAGCCTTCAAGAAGAGAAAGGTACTGCCTGGGCTGTGTCTACCTGTGTCTTCTCCCTCCTTCCTTCCTCCTCTGCCACCACTGGCATCTCAATCACCAAAACCTTTGGTTGAGGCTTAGCCTATGTTCTGGTCAGCCTATGGGGGACAAGAAGAACCAGGTAGTACTCCAGATTCCGAGTACAGGGGTTAGGAGGGCATCTGAGAACAGAGATGGGGAACCTTCTCTTTTAGAGTAGGTAGTACCTACTAGAAAGTCCTGGAATTCCTTATGGTTTTCATAATGAAAATGGTGAAAACAATGGCAATTTCTGGACTCTACCACTTGGGTACAGAATATCTGGAATGCGACCCAGGCATTTCTATTTTTAAATATTCTGATAGGAGATTCAAAAACAGTGCATGCCTGGTTAAGAAGAAGTGTTAATTAGCATACCCAAAGAGGGTAAGTTCTAATCTGAAAAGGAAGGATGGGGCAGTCAGCAGTGGACAGAGAGGCAGGAGTGGGCAGTGCCCACTCAGGTACCCAGAAAGAAGATGCCTGCCTGGAAAACACCACCTGTCAGTTCCTGTACCAAGGACATTTCTGATAGATGATGCATCAGTAAGAGCTGAGCTGTCTGGTCCATCCATGCTTCTACTGGCTCCAGGTCCATTGGATTCTAATGGAACCATCTATGTGAGGACCAGCCTGAAGGATAATCTGGCTAGAGGATTTGTGTTCTATTTCCGTCAGAGTTCTCAGGACTCCATGGGGTTGCTCATCAGCCCCATGAGCTGGTCCCTTTCATTAGAGGATGAGTAATATGATTCTTCTGGGATGAAACATGATTCTGAGCCTGCAGAGCTACAGGTAGGCCCTTGCCAGCGACACTTTCCCCAGGTTTAATCCCCCATAGGACACATCCATATGCCAGAGGCTGCTTCTGACACTCTGCGAGGGTCCTCATCTCAGTCTGTGTACATCAGACATTTTACAATTTGATTATTGCACATTCTAGATTTTTCAGTTGCCTGTGAATACATAAGGAGGGCGGTTGGGTGAAGCAATGGGCGTGTGGGAAAGAGAAACTGCATAGAGACTGGGACAGTGTGTCCTTCAGTGAGTCAAACTCTAAACAACACTGCTTGATTTCCCAGCCTCCCAGCAAAATGCTGTCCAGCATCTTGGGCAAGAGCAACCTCCAGTTTGCGGGCATGAACATCTCCCTGACCATATCCACAGCCAGCCTAAACCTGCGCACGCCAGACTCCAAACAGGTCTGTAGCTCTGTCCCCCAGGGCCACGCCTGGGAGTTTCCTGGGACCTCTCTTCCAGCTGTAGTGGATCCCCGTGGAGCAAATCGTGTCACGTCTTCCCCAGTCTGCAAAGTTTGGTCACTTCCAAGGGTTGCTCACCGAATGATAGGAATTATTATGCTTATAACCTAAGTATTTACATTTAATTATAATACATATACATAATTAAAATATGATTATATATATATAATTCTGCATAAATTACTTTTTCTTGAGGATAGTGCATGAAATCACTGCCCTACTCACAATGTGAAAGGGCAGCCTATGCGTGCAGGCGCCTCTTCCTGTCCTTGTCCTCCCTGGTGTTCTCTGACACCTGGCGCTTTGGCTTGGCAGTCCACATTTTCTCACCTTTGAAATGGATGACCGGTGCGGTTGACTGGCAGTGTTTTTCCATCAGTGGTTCATTATCTGGGCTTCTCGGTGTTGTGAGTGTCGTGGGGCTGTGGCCTGTGACAGGCCTGCGTGGGCCGGCTCCTTGCTGACAGCGAGGCCGCGTGCAGAGTGGCTGTTAGGCAGGCCGGGCTCCTCCGAGCTGTCTGTCTTAGGTTTCTCTGAGGGTTCATTCTTTCAGCTGGAAAAGTGGGTTTCTGAGTAGCTGTCCTGGGTACCAACAGGATATTCTGAAGTCAAAGAAGGGGAAATCCTGGGGACTTTAATGGGGGGTGGCCTTCAGCCCGGGGCTCCCTTGCTGGCAGTGAGCTGGAATTCAAATGTGTCTACACAGCAGAAGACAGGCAATGAGCTGACTTGTGAATGACACACTTCTTGACTCTGGAAGTGGGTTACCAGGGAGCATGTTTACACTCACTGATTTCCATAGTTCCAGGCAGACAGTCAGCAATGCCCACCCCTCCCCCACTTCATTTATTCCTCCAACCCCAGATGTTGAAAAAAGTTCTAGATCCTCCTCACAATACCTGAACAGTCAGCCTCACTGTTTTTATTCATTTTATATATTCAAGTTTTCCTGGATCCTGAGTAGTTTTGCAGGTGCAAACTGCTGAAGTAGGCATTTTAAAACATTTTACTTTATCTTATAATTTGGTTAGACTTTTACTTCTACTTTTACAGAAGCACCGTTAGAAAAATCCATTAGACAATAGGATTAGGGCTTTTACTCTCTCCCCACAGGCCTGAGGGGCCACTCACAGATGAACCTGGTTATATTGGGACAGAGACCAGAGTGCTGTTCCCACCCCCAAAAATTTACTTCAATGTCATTACATTGTCTTTAAAAAGATAAAAATAGCATGGAAGATGTATGTAGCTTTTTAAATTTAGGGCAGCTTCTAATTTACTCAGTGTCTATTAAATTCCAGTGTATGCTGCAGTTTATAATGCTAATGGAAATTTCCCATTTTAAAATTAACTTGGAATGTCCTCGCTGGCTCTTGAATTGATAAATTAGAAGAGTGCCCGAGATAGCACTGATTTTGAGTTTCGGATGCAGGCTTTCTAATTTCTATGCGCTTGGTACAAATGGGGTAACATGGGGGACACACACACTTTCTCCATTCTAGCTTGGGATCTATATCAAAGACCCCACATCTTTGGAATTAGAAATTGCACATCTAAAATGTTTTGGTGTAGAGAGAAATGTTTGGTGAGACCTGCTTTCCTTTATAGAGTTACATGGATGTTAAGACTCCTCATCTGGCCACAGCCCATCCAGGTGCTCACTTTGGAGCCTGGAGCAAGTGACTCCTCCTCTGGGTCTCAGGCTGCTCATCTGTAAAATGGGATCAAGGTAGTTCCTACATACATCACAGCCTGTTGTGACATTCTAGTGTGCCAATTCTGGCAATGCAGCTAGATGGACTGGTGACACACGGCTGAGCCCAATAAAGGCTGTATGTTTTTGTTTCTTTCATAACTGCTAGTTTCAGATAGGTACCTCTTTGACCAATTTTCAGGAAACCTTGTTGATTTGTATGTCTGCCAGCAAACAGTTGGTTTTCCAACACATGGTGTAGTAATAACAACACCTCCCTTCTTGTTTGTGTCCGGCAGATTATAGCAAATCACCACATGCAATCCATATCCTTCGCCTCGGGGGGAGACCCGGTAAGTCCTTGAGTTGTTTGCTTTTTCTTTGTCTTGAATTTCTGAGATGGGTCCTGCTTCATAAATGCTTCTTAAAACACTACAAAGAAAGTAAATTATGATGCCAACTACAATATTTGCCCCCTGATTTCATAAATTGCTTCTGGGTATCATTTTGTTAGGAGTAACCCAGAACAAGGTGCCCACCATCCTTCAAGCCTTAGTAATGAGTGTCTTCCTAGTTTTCCAGAGCTACCAGGTATTCTCATCTCCCGACTCTTTGCGTGCCCTGCTTGGTTCCTCTTTTTCAGTGGTACCTCTGTTAGGTAGGCCCTTCATCTTTATATTTTAAGTCGACTCAAAGGCTGAGAATTTACTTAGTCTGGTTTATTCATAAGTATTTAAAGTTGGCATTTTTTCCCTCCCAATTTAGCTCTGTAATCTTTTAATGGCTTGCTTTGCAAACAGAGAAGGAGCTGCAGAGAGAAGGAGAGAATGGAGAACAGAATGGGAATATTCTATAGAAGGTGGGCTGACCAGGGAATTTGCTGCCCTGGTTGGTTGGGAATGCTACATCATGATGACATGGTTCAGTTTCAGTGTTCAGGAATGCAGGACCCAGAACCCATGCCTCTGCTGGCAGGGCCAGGGCCCGCTTGCTGTTGGCAATCTGAGCCTTTGAAAAAACTGAAGCAGGAAGCCAGTGTCCAGGGAACAAGGTACAAAGGGAATTGGCAAGAAAATGATATCAGCCCTTTGCAGCAGTGAGTGGGAGAAAAAACTCACCCTGAGAATGTTGTCATATTATTTTTTCTTAGTCTGGGTAGTTTTCACCAGTCCAGGGAAAAATTTAAAAATTAGGACAACAGAGTTTGTTTTTCTTAGAGTCAAATTTACTCACAAAACCTGTTCTATATCCTAGGAAGATGTCCTTTTGTGTTAAGTAGCCTTTTTACAATAAAAGAACAGTGACTTAGAGGTGGCATTTTCTAATTATTGTCTTCCAATCAAACCCACCCAATCTAGAGATTGTATCTGTGGAAGAGGCACATTCCCTGTTTGCACCCCACTCCCTTTGCCTATATCTCTATCTATCTGCAACTGCTAACCGCCTGCCCAGATCTGGGATCCCCAGCCCTCCTTGTTCTCAGGGCTATTATCTCAGTGCCCAGAGTTCTTTCTCATCTAGCAAAACTGTATAGTCAGACAGGAGGCCTCCCACTAAGGGCAAAAGTCCTGGCATGTGGAACATACTGGGAAACCAGTATCTGCTGCAAACAGCAGGCAGATAGATATTTGAATAGAAATAATGTGCTTTGACCAGCTGGAACAATGGAGCTCTCTAGGCAATAGTTCCTGGTCACTCCACCCTAGCTTATATCCTGGGATGCATCCCCCACAAATCTACACACCCTGCATACTTGCCCCACCTTTGTACTAATAAATGCAAAGCTGCCATTGGCTTCAGGCTGCACATTACTTCCGGTGTAGCCACTCTAGGCTTCTCATTGCTCCACATGGACTTTGAGTAATCTCTCTCATCCTGTGCCGCTCCCAAAGCTGCTGCTCTGTGAGGCGACAGGAACCATAGTTTCTTAAATTTGGAAGGTAACCCAATGTGAAAAAATAAAAGGCAGCAGCAGCGCACACTTACATCAAGAGCTTGCCTCAAACCTCACCTGAAGGATGGAGCTAGGAACGGGGAGAGAGACCTGGAAAGTGGAAAGGCAAAGCACAGCACACTGGTTGGTGTTTGGAATTATTTTATCCTCCAAGATGTCCACAGGACAGTGAACTGCTTCTGGACAGAAAATGTCATGTTGCCAGGGGATAGGAAAGCTGGTTACTTTCCATTTTAACCAATACAAGTGAATTCACATTATGTATGAGTTTCCAACTGGTCTGTAACCAATTCCAAACTAGTTTATTACCATTATGATTAATAGATGTTTTAAATAAAACCAATACCAAGTTCTATTTGTTGTTCTGCTACAAGTATATATGTCACTTAGAGAGTTGTGCCTCAGTTTACCAGGTAAGAAAATGCTATTTTGAAATGTCAAGGCACATTGAAAACACTGTTAATCCCTTAACAAAAACCACAACACTGACCATTGCCTATTATTATTAGTGGGGTTACGTGATCACCCAAAGAATGCCAGAATCTTGGTCAGGCTCAGAAAGTCAGGGAGAAAGAAAAGAGTCAGATACATACAGAAGAGACCCTGTCTTTGGAACTTGGACGTTCACTGTGAGGCTGCGTGATGTGAGGAACACGGTTCTGAACAACAGTAACTCTGCCACTGTGCCTGAGAGGGCTAGTGCTGGCTTCTGAGGGGCTGTCTGAGTGATGGTGACACATCACGTCTGTTTCTGGTCTCGCTTGGAGCCACAGCAATTTCTCAGGCTAGAGTCACAGCTTGAAAAAGAATTTCCTTGTCTATGCTACTGGTATTGATGCAAATTCATCCTGTTACTCAAATACATTCGCAAATGAACTATGTACAGGCTTCTTGTGTTTGTGCTTTTTATTGAACTGTGAGCCCTAATCACATTTTGAAGTTAAACACTAGTAAACACAGAAATGCAGGAACTTTCCAAGCGACATGGTTACTAGGATGGATCAAGTTTTGCTGAACGGAAGCTCTGCTCCTAGTGGGACTGTGGGATTGGCCGCCATGGTGTGGAGTCTTCCAAGCTCAGGATCTCCACTGCCCTGGGCACCAGACAGTTCTTTCACAGAGCTCTGCTTTTCAAGTCCACGCTTCCATCATACATCATCGTGCACAAATGTGACATTAATTTGCTTCACGTGAGCCAAAGGCATCTGGTCTGACTGTTCTTTTCTCATTCTTTAAAAGCTGGCACCCATAATGCTGAAAACCCAACTGCCAATCTTGGCACAGAGATTGCATGACACAGCAGTGGTTCAGATGATCCTGGAGATTCTCGCATTAATTTTATGATTATCATGGAAACGAAGACACAAAATTAAAAAGAAATTCTGGTGACATCTCAGATATTGGAGAACATGCCTGCCCAACTCAAGTGTTCCATGTATCTCAGTTTCAGAATCACTAGTATTCCCTAAGAACCCTCTGATATTAGCATCTCCTAAAACCAGAAAGTGTCTGTAATTACAAGTCACTATCCAGATTTTTGCCAATACCTTCAGAGTTTAACTAGATTTTTCCTTGACAGAAATGACCAGAAGCCCAGGCCATTGATTGGTTTGACTGTCTCCCACTCTCCTTCCAGAGTTAGCCTGTAAATGAGCCAGTGACAGTGGCTGAGCAGGAAGAGAAAGCAGCTTAGCTGGGCTGCATTCTGCAGAATGGCGGCAGGGAACACCCCTCCTGTCGAGAGAGTTGCTGAAAGTGCCTTTCCTCCCCGATTTCCTGGGTGCTTGTGAGGTCGGGGCTGATGTTCAGAAAGGGCCTGGCACCCCACACAGTCCTCATTCATTCTGCCTTTTCCCTTTGTTTTTCTGGAGCACAGTAGAGAGAGGAGGGGTCTTTCTATTGCCCAAAGTGAGTAGCAGTGAAAGAACTTGGTGGAGAATCTTTCAGATATTGAACACAATGGCCTTGGAACTTTTGTATCAAAGCAGTAACTCTTGGGAAAGAGCTGTCACTGCAGAGATCTTGACCAATTGCCCCCCTGAGCTGTTTTTGAATGTTAGAAATGTCAACTTTTCAGGGAAGTCTTCCCACTTTCAAGAATTAAGAGAATTATTGGCTCCTCTGATGGCTTTGACACAGAAATGCACGTGCTTGCTGGACCCATATGAGGTCACAGTCTTCCCCCAGCATTGATCAGATGGGAGGCTGGCAGGGACACGCAGACCTGACACATGCGGTGACACTTCTACATGGATCCCATGGTCCTGAGACACCTGTTTTTATTTAGATGAAACTTTTATTTCTGTTTATAAAGTTGTGACTGCTCATTGCAGAAACAGGAAAACACAGAAAGAATCATGTTAATCATGTCACCAAAAGATGGTATGATTATTATTTGGAAATAGTTTTTAACTTATTTTTTAGCAAAAATTAGTCAAGTTTTTAGCTAGTGGAGGAAAGTTGGCAAAGATGCTTGCGAGGCAGTGGATGCAGGGGTCAAATGAATTTAAACAGTTCAAGGGGAGAAACAGCAAGACCTCCCCCTTTAACATTTTGTAGCAACTTAAAAGGATTAAATCACAATTTCTGTCCAGGAAGCAAAGAACTCTTCTATCCCATCCACCCATGAGGGGTGTTTGTAGCCAACCTTGGACCAGCGAGTCTGAAGTTCCGCCAAGTGGCCCTAGACCAGTGGCAGTGTCTCCTGGAAGCTGGTCAAAATGCACATTTTGCGTCATTGGAGTGGGGCTCAGCAATTTGTTTTAACCAGCTCTGAAGACATCCTGAGGCCAGCTCAAATGTGAGGGTTGCTATGTAGACAGAGCTGCCCACAGGGTTTTCAATCCTGGTTCTTGTTAGAGAGAGAGCTTTTGAATGTCCCAGATGCTTAGGCTCCATGTTCAATCCCGGTCAGTCAGATTATCTGGGAGTTAGGATGCAGGCGGCGGAGTTTCAAGCTCCTGAGTAACCCAGTGGGCAGAGGACGCTGGCCTTCAGGTCCTGGCTGCTCAGAGGATGGATGGACGGAAGCGCCAGTGCCATGGGCCAGCTGACTGTAGATGAGGAACATCAGGCCTGATCGGACCTGCTGTCTCAGCACTTGTGTTTCATAGCAAGCCCTTGACTCCTGCCCACTGCACAGCTTGAGAAACTTGATTCGGGGGACTGGCGTTGGGCATATTGCACTGTGTCCGTCTGTGCTATTGTTTGTGATAGTGACACAGACACCTCATTTTTCTTTGGCAGGACACAACAGACTATGTTGCATATGTAGCCAAGGACCCTGTTAATCGCAGAGGTAAGCAATGTTTGACCCTTGTCACCTCTTGTCTGTACATAGTTGGCTAAATATTACTACTGGATACCCCTCATTTCCTCAACCCCTTCACCAAAGTGAGCATGTGTCATGTCTTACTGGTAACCATGATTGAGGTGTGCAGCAGTTAAGGGTGGCACACACCTGGCCAGTTAGGAGACACTGGGCGACTGTAGTGCAAACACACACATGCCCTGCTACACCTGCTATAGTTCGGGCAACCTGATTTGGATCCTGCAGCCCCACTCATATTCTTGATATATAGCCCCTTGACACATGGAAGTTTTCAAAAAACTTCCTGTCCTTCTGCCTGAATCCAGCTCCTTATTGCATCCACTGCCGACTAAGCCACCCCAAGCTCATGCCATGTTTCCTTATACCCCCAAAGCTGCTGGGGCCTCCAACACAGATTAGGTCGGGGACTAGAGGCATAGACCCTTCCTCCACACCTACCACCCCATTTCTTTGATCATTTATAAAATAAAAGCTCCAACCCCAGGATGCTAACAAGGGTGGGTGCAAACATGGGGTGCATTGCCCCTGAATTCCAGTCAGATTAACTGATTCATGAGCTGGCTCTGCTGAGATCTTTTCTCTGTGAGGGCCCAGAAAGATGTTTTTTTTTAATGTTGGTGTGATCCTGTCTCTGCTCATTCACATCATCGCCGCATCCACAGGACCCTGTGTGTGCTCACCCCTACTCTGTTACCATTTCTCATCTCCTATGACACCCCTAACTTCCCCTCTGACTCCACTGACCTCTGACTTGGGCAAGCATGTGCCTCAGGGTTTTGTACCAGCTGGGACCCCTACTTGGTGCATTCTCGCCCCAGATCTTCCCTTGGTTTATTCTCTGAATTCCTTGAGGCTTCTTCTCCAATGTCAGCTTCTAGATGGCCTTGCCTGGTCATCCTTATCACTCTATACTCATCATCCTCTGTTGTCCCCTTTATTGTACATTTTTGTCTTCATGGTTGTATGTAACAGACATGTTTTATCATGTCCTCATGACTGCTGTAACTAATTACCACAAACTTTGTGGCTTACAAAAGAGATAACAACCAAATGGTATGCTGTCATTAACCAGAGTTCAAAGCCCCTGGGTCTTAACAACAGGTGCAAGAACCTGGGTAATTCTTCTTATTCAAAAGCCAAAGAGAACAAATTCTAGCTGTGACCCTGTCTCAACTTAAGTCCTCTCAAAGTGCTACATTTATTGCTCTACCACAACTTGAAGTCAAAGCTTACATCAGATTGTTTGAGATGTTTTGACTGAGGAATTGGCTTAAGGAAAGGGTCACTATGGATTCCCACCACCCATCTTGGAACTTATAACATCTTAGGCAGCTTGTACCCAGGTCCTCATTGGAAGTGAGTTTTTGGTTCTCTCTTGCCCTGGTTTCTTCCTAACTTCCATCCCTTCTGGCACAAATGCCCTGGTTAGCAGAGCAGTCTATCAAATAACAGACACCTAAAGATCCTGGGTAAAAAAACCTAGGATTATACCCAGCTACTTGTAAACTTGGTATAAAGCCAATTTATTGAGACAAGAAAAGGAAACTCCTTATCACATAATCTATACAAACGAAAAATGAAGAGAGAGAAGACCATACCACAGATGTTGTAACAAAAAACCCAGAGAACGATCTCAATCCTATAGAACTACAAAATCTGCCTGATGAGTTTAAGTTAAAAGTTAGACCCATGCTTTGAATTTAGAAAAAAAAAAAAAAAAGATGATCAGAAACTGAAACACAGTAAGAGAGAAAACATGACATTGCTACAAATAGAATTAATGGAGCTAAAAAATGTTATAACTAAATTAAAAAATATGATCGAGGGTAAAAGGTTCGGCGCGGTAAAGACAAGGAGAGCCAGGCTACATTTCTCAAAGGGAGGGAAAGTTTATTGCACCCCGGGCGGACCTCACGCACCCAAGGTGAGGGTCAGTGAAGCCGCGCACGTTGTTAGGGGGAAGCAGGGTTTTATAGGGTGAGGAGAGGTCAGGTGGGTAGTTGGGCTCCTCTGGCGGGAAAAGTTTGTGGGGCAGGTAGAGGTTCTTTGTCTGAGATGAGACTCGTAGGGGGAGGGGGGAGGCTCATTGTCTGAGTCCTCCAGGCAGGTATCCGCATTCCTGCCCCCCAGGTGGGCTTCCTGGTTGGCTTCTGCATTCCGGCCCCCTGCATGGACCTTTCAGAGGGCCCCAACAGTAGGCAAATACAAGCAATGGAGAGAATCAGAGAACTTGAATGCACAGTGGCAGAGAAAACACAAATAGAACAATAAAATTAAAAAAAAATAAAACACAGTATAAGAACTCTTTGGGATAATGTAAAGCAAAATGATACCATATCACAGGGGGCCCAGAAGGATGCTAGAAAGAACTTAATATAAAGAAACAATCACTGAAAATTTTAACTCAAGAAGCCAGATATCCTGATCTGTGAGGTCCAAAGAGTCCCCCCCAAAATAATACCAGAACTGTGCACTCCAGGACACATAATTGAACTGTTGTGAAGGGGAACAGAACCTACCTCAGCACCCTTGCCACCATAAAGCAGTCACAGATTGCTCCAGGCCTCTGAGGGCCCCTGCTCTGACTGACACCCCTAACTTTTATCACACTTTAGCAAAACATGCTTTTCTGAGAACCTACATGAGTGTCCAGTCTCAAAGTAGGCAAGGTGCAGGGAGTTGTGGGATGGTCACACTCATTAATGAGGTTGCTTTAGACTCATCTTTGTCAGGAAGGGTTCCTTGCAGGGGACCTGGGAAGTGTCAGTGTCTGTCTCTAACAGGCCCATGTCCCTTGCTCTCAAAGCTTGTCACATTCTGGAATGCTGTGATGGGTTGGCCCAGGACGTCATTGGCTCCATCGGGCAAGCCTTCGAGCTCCGGTTTAAGCAATACCTGCAGTGTCCTTCCAAGATTCCTGCTCTCCATGACCGGTGAGTGGCACAGTGCCCTTTCTGTGTTTTACTACCTTCCTTACACTCAGAAGGAGAAAACCACAAACTGCCACCCCAGGTGAGCTCTTGATAGATGCCATGAGATGCACTGGGCTTACTAAGCTTTCTGGGCTTGGGGACGCCTGGCCTGTGCTAGCCCAGTGTTTTCTGGGCTTGGGGATGCCTGGCCAATGCTGGCCTGGGGCTCAAGAAACGGACATTGGTAGGCAACATGTGGGCAATGAGCTGAATGTTCAGAAAAGCATTTTCTTGAAACTATAGTGATAGTAGCCAAGGTTACACAAAACATTGTAATATGTGCTCGTTCTGGCTCCTCTGTGCACGTGATAAATCCACATGTCGCCTCCTTGGGTCTGCATCATGCAGGTCACGCACTTCCCAATGTCCTTGCCATCGTAGTCAGCCCGAACCCGACTCAGAGCCTCCCTCGGTGAGGTCCTGTACTCGGGGCTGCAGTGACCCTTTTGATGTGCTGGTCTCTGCGGCCTCAGAGCTCATAGCCTTTTCTGTGGTCCTGAATAATTCTAATCTGATCTGCATCTCAGAGATTTTCTCTGTAAGATAGGAATAAGTGTGGTTGGGCAGTTTTAAATGTTAGGCGAAATAGTAAATAAGAACAAGATTTATAAACCATTTAGTTTATTACAAAAATGTTCAGGGTCTACCATTGAGTTTCCTAAGGGCATTAAGAATATTTCATGTAGCATCAAGCATTAAAAAGGAAGTAAAACAGGTCTCCTGCCTGCCTATGACTATGCAGGTGCCTCTACTTTTCTCCTTTTCCTAATAAACCTATCTTTTTAAAATGCAAAAAAATTAAATTAAATTGAAAGGAAATAAAATGGGCATATTTAGTATTCAGTACTTTATCCTTGATAGAATTTGCATAAGAAAAGCTTGCTATCTTAGTATATTTACTGTGAATAAAACTTTAGTTCTCCTAAATTTACATTTCCCTTTTCCCTTTTTCCCCAACCTCTAGAGTCACATTCTGTGACTTAGTCCAGAAGCAATATCTGCTGTTGCCTTCATTAGTGTGGAGGTTTTGTTATAGAGCAACCCCGATATTAAACGGGTTCCTGGCTGTGGGTCCTCACCCGCGCGCTTTAAAGGGACTTATGAATACTCTACTACAGACACATGCAAAAGGTTAATAAAAGGTTTATTTACAAGAGAAAAGGAAATAAGGAAAATGTACAACTCAGGACGAAAATAGGGAAATAAAGTCTTTAATGCGTCCTACCCAATCCGACGACCTGGAAACCCCAAAGTCACTCTCAGAGCTGACCGGACGCTGCTGCTGGCCAAGAGCCCAAAAATGGAGAGCCCCCAAAGCCCACGTGTCTGCCTTTTGTATCCACCTGGCTGCTTAACCCCACCCTCAGGTCCCAGCCACCTTCCCTTTGGTGGTGATGGGATTTGGAGTTCCCAGTGTCTTTGGCTTTGACCTGGGGTGGGGGTGGAGTCCACAAAGCCTATATGGAATTTGCTTTGGGACATCCTTTTCCCCCTAACAGTTTCTGTCATCTCTTGGAAATTTTCACCTGTCTTGAAAGAGACTTTATTTTTGTCTTTGTTTGCTGAGAGCGCTTGTCTTTTGGTCGTGGACTGGGTGACACAGATGTGGGTGAGACCTGTGGGGAGGTGACCATGGCAGCTTTTATCTTGATGTTGATTTTGCTCTTTTCCTTCCGGGCTTGTCCGGTTGTTTGTGACCCTTTTCTGTGGGTCCCCACTGGAAGATGTTTTAGACTTGTGGCAGGCTTTGGGGCCTTGCTCTGGGCCGACCCCATATGGATGGACTTTTACCCACGAGGGGATGGGTAACTTTGGGTGCTTCATTTAGAAACTAGACTCTTTGCCTCACCTGTATTGTTTCCTAGTTTTTATTAAAGTTCCTTCCCATTAAAGTGTCATATGTTTTGTGTTGATGCGGCGGATGGCAGAGCCCATTTAGAATAGGCAGGTTTGCAGGGTTTGGGCTGCCCCTCTCCCTGTCCTATAATAATTTGAGTTTATCCTACTTGGGGCTTTTTTTTTTTTTTTTTTTTTTGAGAGTCTTGGTTGTAATCAGTGCTTTTCATTAATTTTGGGAAGTTTTTGGTCATTGTTTTTCAAAAGATCTTCTGCCGCTTTCTGTCTCTCCTTTCCTACTCTTCTGCCATCATGGGTTGATCGGTTTCCTTAACGGCATCCCAGAGGTCTCTAGGCTGTTCGTTTTTCTAAATTCTGTTTTTCTTTCTTTATTCATTGTGCTTTCTTCTGCCTGTGGAAACCTGATGTTGAGCCCCTCTAAAGAATTTCTTATTTCAGTTGTTACAGTTTTCAACTTTAGAATACCTAATTGTTTATTTAAAAATTATTTCTGTCTCTATATTGATATTCCCTACTTGGTTAGACAACATTCCTTGGTGTTTAGTTTTCTGCGTGTGGTTTTTTTTTTTTTAATTCTCAGAACATATTTAAAGTAACTGATTTAAAATTTTTGTCTAGTTAGCCCAAAATGTGAGTTTCCCTGGGGGCAGTTTCATTGATGGTGTTTTTCTTATGTTACCATACGCTCTTGGCTTTTGCATGTTTCACTTTTTTGTTGTCGTTGCATGCTTCATATTTTTTTGTTGAAATTGAAAGGTTTAAATAATATAATGTGCCAAATTAGATTTCTCTTCTCCTCGGGTTGTGACTGCTTGTTTTAATGAGTTTTCTAAACTAACACCGTAAAGTCTGTATTTCTTGTCATATATGGCTACTGACGACTCTGTGTAGTTCACTTATTAGTTAACATTATGGAGGTTTCATTAAATGCCTGGGAATGTTCATTCTCCCAGTCTTTGCTGAGAGGCTGTGTTTCTGTCTTGGGCACACCTTGCTAAGTCTCCATTTCCTGCTTGTACAGGTTATAAGGTCAGCCAGAGAGGAGAACTAGGAACTCTTCACCCCTTGCCTGAGCAGGCACACAGCCCTATACATGCACACTACCCTATCATGCATGTGACCTTGTAGATTTCTAGAAGTTTGTAGAAGCTTATTAAAGTCCCTATGGACATCTCATTTCCTATCTTGTCTTTTTAAGCTTTCTGATTAGGCTGCTCTTTGACCCAAATGTTATCCACTGCCTCAGGGAGCTGTGATGTTAAAACAGTTGCCTCTAATTTTTTTTTTTACAAAAGTCCTGTGGAAGAGGCTTATTCCCCTCTAGGCAAGTGCTATATCACATGAAACAAAGATGGCCCTGGGGGTAGGGCCTTCTAGAGAATGACCAGATGGTCCATAGACTAACAGTTCTCAGAGATGGGACTTCCAAGGTTCCTCAATGTTGTGCTGCACCCTTCCCTGACTGTCCAGCTGCTGGTGATCCCTGCATATGCTCTGTTGGTTTTCAAGGCTACTATGAAGATTGGAAGGTAAAATGGCAAGATAAAATGCCACAAAAGTGCTATTCTTACAGCTGTTTTTTTGTTCTGTTTTTAATAAATACTCCCTCATTGCTGCAAACATCTGGTTAATTTCCAGGTTTATGAAAAGTTAATTGTGGGAAAAAAAATTTTTTTTGTTAGCTCTCCTGTTGCTTTTGAGGAGAGAGTTTTCAGAGCTCCTTAATTTGTCATTTCCCCTATTACCACTAAATCTCCATTTATTAGTTGATTTTGTGTTGGATAAATTTCATGATTTAGGAAATGTGTGTCTGTGTCTAGGGATCTAGTTATTTTTAAATATAAATTCTTTCTTTCCTAATTAAAATGTACTTTTAAAAAAGTCCTTTCCTGTTTCAGATATGACTGGAATTTCCCAAAGAGTAGAGCTATAAATAAGGCAGACATATTTGACTAAACCCTCATTTGCTTTCCACACATGCCTGAGACCTAGATGCTTGAGGGGTGATAACAGACATTAGAATTGTTGGTTTTGATTGCAAGCTAACTTTTGGCCCCCTGAAAATCCTGATTTAACAGAATGCAGAGTCTGGACGAGCCGTGGACAGAAGAGGAGGGAGAGGCCTCGGATCGCCCATATTATAACAGCATTCCAAGTAAGACACCCCCTCCAGGGGGGTTTGTGGATGCCCGACTGAAAGCCAGACCCCAGGCTCCTGACACAGCCCAGGTAAACTTACTCATTCCTCCTTGGATGGTGGTTAACTGAACTTTATTTTCAGGCTGGTGTTTCAGATAATCTTTGTCCGAATAACTCACAAACTTTCTCCCCTTGGATTTCATAAAGGAGAAAATTAGGGGAGCCTCTTGTTTCCACATCACATGTTATTAGTCAAAATCTTGGAATGCAATTGTGATTCCTGAGGTTTGAGTCTGAGGTTCCTCTCTCCATCCTAGGAAACATCCTATTAAACTGTGATCTTAATCAGGAGGAGAGAGAGTCTGAGGCTTTTTAAATGCTTTGGTGTCTCTGAAAAGAAAGTGGCTATAAGTTTTTAAAATGGTGAGAATTTTGTAAGTTTTTCTATTTAACTCATTTCTCTGATTTTCTCTCCAACTCAAAATACTACTGTGGCAATTTTCTCTAGAGTTATTATATCCATTTAATGTCTACCTTACTGAGTGACAATAGCACCAATAAATGTGGCAAAATAGCATTGAAATCCAGTGTCCACACCTCTGACACAGAATCAACTGTGGGGGCTTGCCTGGGCATGAATGGTGATATGAGGGTGTATGGGGGCGTGTTCTGACTCGTAGGGCTTCTCCAGCTGGAATTTCTTTTTGGTCATTTGAGTGTTGCAGCTGCATTTGGAGGAGCTCAATTTATGGCCACACATAGGGAGGGTTGTGAAGTAGTGAAAAGAACAGGGAGTGTGCATTCTTGATGAGATGCAGCCTCTTCACACCCACACAAGCTTATTTCCCAAATGTTCACACCCATTGTGCTGCATGAAGGGAAATCTGGGTGTGATCAGGAGTGCAGTGATCTCTGTACACTACCGCGGCTCTCAAAGATGAGGACATGAGAACAGAGTGATTTTTTTCCCCTTTATGTGTTAACGTGTGCTTATAGTTTGCAGGAAAAGAGCAAACTTACTACCAGGGACGACACTTCGGAGACCCGTTTGGTGAAGACTGGCAGCAAACACCTATCAGGCAAGGTGAGAGATGTGGGGAGGCTGGTAAGAAATGAAAAATAGCAAAGTAAAGTGCTCCCCTCCCTCTGGGTCATCTCCTGGGGAGTGGTGGAGTATCCACAGAAATACCTGCTGTCTGTGGGGCTGCAGGTCCCCACATGATTGTAGAGATGAAATAAAGGGCTGTCTGGGATGTCGCTGGTCTTCCTGAGATGATGCAAGGGCTGGCTTGCTCTCCTCAGCAGCCCCTGCGGTCATGCCCCTGGAGACGGTCCAGCTCCCTCCACTGGAGGGATTGCTGGCCAGGGGTGCTGCCCAGGCAGTGACCTCCCAGGGGCGCCTCCATCCATTTCAAACTGGAGTTGGTTGGGAATCTCTGAAGTGTTTTCTATGCTACCCCTAAGTGTCCACCTGCAGGGGCTGAGCCCCTATGTCCTCCAATCTAGTAACTAGTAGTTCTCCCTCTCTGCCTCACTCACCCAGGAATAAATGTGACACCCTCCTCAGGCAGAGATGGCCCCAGGGATACAACCCCTGTAGGGCCTGGGCACTTGGGGAGGATGCTCATAGCTTATCAAAGTATTCATGTGCACCTGCGTCCCATGTGAGAAATAGAGCAGACATGACTTAGAACTAAATGCTAACTGCTAACCAAGGCTTTACCCTCTAGACAGTTATTTCTACCCCCCCCACACACACACACTCACACACACACACACTTGAAAGTTCCATATAATTTTAAACTCGTTCTCTCCTGAAACATTTCTATAAATCTTCCAATACCTCTAGGGCCTGGACTACTAACTCTACAGGGTCTGAAGGAGATGGAGCAACGAGTTAGTTTAATGACTGGAGATCTAATTTATGCTTCTCTGTATATACATTTAAACATTTATTGCTTTAACATTAGGGTTTTCCCCTTCACTACAGTGATTTGTGCCAGGAAACAAATAACAATGCATTTGAAAATTTCCTCCTTGGGGAGTTTCCTGGCTTGCCTCCCCCAGCCAGAAGACCACCAAGGCTACCCACTCAGTGAAACAAATCCTGCAGAACTCCCACACGGCATGGCCTCAGAATAGGACAAAGTGGCATGACTTTGCCAGGGACAGTTTTTCACTATGTTTTCACTTCTGTTCTATATATGTTTAAAATTTATTTATATACAGGGGTACATAGACATAAGATAACTGCTGTAGACTAAAAGAGACATTATTTCCATTAGATACTTAATTTTTTGAAAAATTATTCATCAGGCTTATTTTTAAATTTTCAAGTATTGACGTTCTCTGGTTGGATCAAAAAAGGACAATGGGAGAAACTCACCAGAGCAAACATGGTTCTAGCTTGGAACTGGAGACTCGCCACTCTCAATACATTTCAAGGTCTTATTTGAAAGCATTAAGTTCCCTTTTCTGTACAACAAGTAAGTTGTACCGAATGTCCTTGCTGCTTTGTCAGCAGTGAATCCCCCTAAATGGAATTGATCCCAGGTGTCCGTGAGGGGCTACGTCTCCCTTCCTGACTCAGTACCTGCCATTGTCTGCTGTGGGGAAAGGCCAGCATCAGGAAATTATTCATTGGCTATTTCATCTTCTCCTTTAAAAAAATTAGCTTGGAAAGTTCCTTTGCAGACTGACTTGCTGGAACACACAAAGCTGAGAAACACAGACAGTCTGCACTCACCAGGACACGGGAGCCAGGAGCAGCCTGGGCAGCAGCCATCTTAGGAGTAGGAGTGGCCTAGGTGCCGGACTCTGCAGAAGCTGCTGCCCTGCAAAGGGATGTTAGGAGGATACTTACAGGCTGGAGACAGTAGTGTGCCTGCCTGAAGCTGTTCCCCACAGCCTGTGGGGAATACATCTTTAAAATTCCCGAGTGGGGCCCCCATGGTGGCTCACAGCGTTAAGTCTATGAAGCAATCCTCAGCTACTGCAGCACAAGTTCAGTCCGTAGCCAGGGAGCTGACCTCTCCTGTCTCACCCCTCAGCAGTGTATTTCAGTCAATCTGCTTCTTCTGCTCCCCACTCTGTCTCTGGTGAATCCTCTCACCCCCCACACCTCTGGCCTGCACCCCAACTCTTGTATGCATAAATAAATCTTTTAAAAAATAAATAAGTAAATAAATATATAAAAAAAATAAAATCCCCTAGTGGACTCTTTCTAGATTGAGAAGCTTCAGCACTGCAATGCCCTCAGGGTGTGAAAGGAAACCTCTTTCCAGAGATGTGAAGGTCAAAGGGTGATCTTGAGAATATGTCCACATGTGTGAGAAACAGGCTATCACAGAAGAATCACATAGTGACCCACATACGTGTTCTCCGGCAAGTCCTCAGTCACCTCAGTGACAAAAGCAGGGACACCACCCCCAGCTCAGCCAGGCCAGCGAGAAAGTCCCAGGAGATACAGGCCACTCCATTTTATTAGGAGAGTATCTCAGTTCATCATGAAGTAACTTTATAAAACAGCCCTTGCACGGCATTGCCAGAAGTCACTTAATTCTAAAGCAGTGACTTACACTTAGCAAAAAGAGCAATAGCAGTAAGACTTGTATTGCTCGGTTATTTATCTCAGGGCCTTAGAAAAAAGGGGGTGAAGAGACCAAGGCAGCTTCTCCCACAGCTATGCCTGCTCTGCGCCCCAGGCCTGAATCAGCAAGCCCCGAGTCTTGGGAAGGCCCCTCCCCATCATGGCTGGTCCCCATCATGGCTGGTCCCCGTCGTGGGTGCGCAGGTCTCCTTGTGACAGGAAGGACTGGAAAGCATCCTAACCAGAACACAACAGTGTTCAGAACAAAGTCAGAAGAGGGGAATTGAAGCCGCAGTTTTCTGTAAGCTTTTCTCTATGAAATGCTGGGTGGCTTAGCAACAGATGAAGAAATAGTATTACCATTGTAAGAGATGAAAGGGTTTGTTTTCTTGTTTAGGGTCCTTGGACATCTACAGCATGCCAGAGGGGAAAGCACAAGTGGTCCCCACAGGAGAAGCCCCCACCTATGTCAACACCCAGCACCTCCCTCTGCAGGCCGGGATGGCCTCCGGCAGCAGCGCAGAGAGCAGCCCCCGCAAAGACCTCTTTGACATGAGTGGGTTTCCATTTGCTTCTGGTTTACTTGTCATTTGAAGCTGCTTTTTTCTGCCTTTTATTTGAAGCCTGTGCAATTACTGAATTTTCTGCTAGTGAGGTTTGGATTAATGGTGAAGACTATCTGCCCATTTCTGGATCATGATTGAGCTTTTCAAAGCTTTGAACTTGGCCAAACTCTACTTTGGGATTTTTAATCCTTTGTAGTCAAGAGGCGAAGTAGTTTTCTTCTCTTTTTTGGAAATGATTTTCCTCCTGAATATCTGAAAATATGTCATGACAAACTATATACATAAATACATGTACTCGCTTGTTTAATCATTTAAATATTAACTGGCTGTTATAAGCCCAATCATGATCAATTGCTCAGGTCGCCTGGATGAAATGGCATGGCCCCTGTTTTCTCGGAGCTCTCAAGTCTGTTGAGCAAGACCAACACATAAGCATGAAATTGCATGCAACGCTTCCCCGTGCGTGCAGTACTCGCTCTCCTGCACTTTTTCTCACATTCTCCCTCTCCCTCTCCTCCTGTTCCTTTTCATCAAGCTCCTACCATGTGTCAAATACCATTTTACTTGTTGGGAATATACACAAAAACAAAATAGACAAAGTCTGACTGTTCTGAAGGCACAAGGCTTCCATAACAAAATGTTCTGGCAGGCAGTGACCGGGGTCTGATGGAGAACCAGGAGAACCAGACAGGGCGAGGAGCATGGTGGGAGCTGCTGTGGGCAGCAATGCGTGGGATGTGGCCCCCGACCTTCCGTTGGTTGCACAGATTGGGAGAATCACACCATTCAGGAACAGATTAGTAGTGCAACTGGAAGTTGTTAAGAAATTTTGAGAAAGCATCCCAAGTTCACAGAGAGAGTCACATCCTAAAATTTCTTTTGCAAATTCCTGAAGAGTTTTATTGCTGAAGAGGGAAGGAAAAGGAAAATAGCATTTAACCAGCTTCTACTGTGTGCTGGGCACATTGTTTAAGTTTTGCAAAGGTCCTCCAGTTGGATACTGCTATTATGAGTGTTGTTGCTGTCACTATTGTTATCTCTATTTTACAGAGACGGAAGTGAAAGCCCTAGGGCTAGGTAAAGGCAAACTTGCCCTTCAGCACTTGCTATTTGTTGTGCTGTATTGAGCAAGGGCTTTTAGGGTTAGGCAGCATCATGACAGCAAAGTCGTTTCCCCTCAGTCACCTAGGTTTTCCAGACGCTGGCTTCCTGTTCTGCCTTAAAAAATTGCCAGAGCCAGAATAACTATAGACCCTCAGTGAAGGGAGATGCCTTAAAGATCACCTTATTCAATCCCTTCACTTAAAGGTGGACACAGCCTCATGTGGATCAGCTTTCCCAGATGTAGTTTCTGCTTCAGTTGTCACAATGTGTACCAAAGGTGGACTAATAGTGATACTTAAAGTCAGACAGTTTTCACTTTCGTCGGTTTACCAGCGATTCCTGGCTCCTGAGCCAGAAGAGAGTTAAGTTGGGCTGAGTTTTGAGATGGGAAATGAGAACCAGAACCATAGATTTCTACTCCTGCTCCCAAAACCAGACAAGGGGAGACAGAAAGTAGAAAGGGTCTTGGAGAGGCTAGTATCTATCGGAGAGTATGGAAAAAATAAATCAGCGCTCTGCGTGGTTTATCTTGAATTACTAGAGCTAAATCATCATGGTGATGATGGTGGTGGTGATGGTGATGGTGGTGATGATGATGTTAGTGAGGATAATATAAATTTTCAGCTATTTCAGAAAATCTGGGGAAAGATAGGATAAAAAGATAAACATTTGTTCCTCCCCAAACTTGCCAAAGATTTAACAAAAGTTAAAATGAGCTAATTTTACTTCCATTTACTCACTCTACTTCTGCCCATCCTCTTACTAACATAATAAACTGGTCTTGCTTTATAGCAGCCACTGAATATTTATGACATATAAATTGTGTTCGAGGAACACGTTGGTATCTGGGGACATAATGTGGCCAAGAGAGAGATGATTCTGTCCTGGTGGTACCTGGTTGTACAAAGTGATCCAAATAATTGCCACGATGCCTTAGCCTTCCATAGTGCTGTGTGCATTTTTCAGATTGCCTCTGCATGTATCTAGATGTACCTGCATACATCTTACCTTATTTGAAAATTGAACATTGCAACTTGATTAGGCGTGCCAGACTACATTTTTTGCTGTTGATTGTTGCTGCTGTTAGGCCCTCCGTGAGTAGTGTGTTCTCAAGGGTGTGAAGTCACACTCCATCTCAGATGCACACAGGGAAACAGGTGAAGGCCAGGAAGTAGATTTCCTAGCCTGAGGCAAGGCACCCAAGAGGCACGAATAAATGCTAGTTATGTCCTGTTTTAGAAATTTGCTGATACAAAGATTTAAAATAAGCATTTGGTGGTTTGGGTTGAGGTTTCACAGGTTATCAAAGCCTTGCAGCTTCTCTTCTCCTTTGTGTATTTCCTTTGGTTTTGGAAGGTTTTTGTTCAGAAGAGAACAGATTTGTTAAAGAGGCTAGCTGCTGTTTCAGAGAAAGTCGATGGCATGTAATATGCACAGCCTCCTGCAGCACTCCAAAATAAAGTCATTCCATCCAGCTAGACAAAGGGTGTGCTTGAATCTTTGGCACAAGGCACCATGCCCAGCTGTCTTGGGAAAGCAGACTCATCAGAAAGACTCATGCCAAGATTTGGGCTGTACTTTCAAATGCTTGTCATGGTGAGTGTAGTTCTATTACCAGCCAGTCATTTTTCTCTCATTTTTTCCCCCTGGTGGAAGTTGCCTTCACATTTCCATCTCTCACATTGTACTTTTTATCATTTGTTCTTCTTGGGTTTGACTTGTTGCTGGTAAATGTTGTTGACAGAACCATTTGAAGACGCACTCAGGAACCAGTCCTTGTGGCCTGTGCTGAGCAAGGCAGCCTCTGTGGAGTGCATCAGCCCCGTCTCGCCCAGAGCCCCCGATGCCAAGATGCTGGAAGAACTGAAAGCAGAGCCTTGGTATCAAGGAGAGATGAGCAGGAAGGAGGCAGAGGGGCTGCTGAAGAGAGATGGGGACTTCCTGGTCAGGAAGAGCACCACCAACCCAGGCTCCTTCGTTCTCACAGGCATGCACAATGGCCAGGCCAAACACCTGCTGCTGGTGGATCCGGAAGGCACGGTGAGCCCGGGGTCGGTGAGCCCAGTCAGTGTGTGCCCACCAGCCTCCTTCCAACCATCTTCTGTGGGTCGCTGCGCCAACAACCCCTCTTTCCCTCCTCCACGCACTGGCACTGAGGTCAGTCCCCCAGGTCCCTGGAGCCCAGGCACAGAGGACTTATGCATTCAGGCCAGAGCTGAGCTGCAGGAGTTCATGGTCATGGGCTTGTACAAGTTATAAAGCCTGGAAAATCACTAGGGTCCAGGCTGCTCTATTTCTTTCTTCTACAAGTTTCATACTATTTTAATCATTATGGCCTTGAAACTGTCTTACTAGCTGATGGTGTAAGCCCTTCCTCCTGCTTCCCTCTTCTAGAAGTTGTTAGTTTAGAATCAGTTTATCAAGTCATCAAAAATACATGCTGGGGTTTGATTGGACTTGTATTGAATTTATAGATTAATATGGGGGAGAGCTGACATTTTTCCAAATTAAGTCATCTCAGCCATGAACGTGACATGTCTCCACTTATTTAGTAACAAAGACCTCCTTTGTTAGAATTTTAAAATTCTTTTCAGAAAGTTCTCTTTCCTCTGTGAGGCTACTTCCTAGAGTATTTCTTCTAGTTTCTGCTCTAAATGATGTTATTTTTAGTTGCTTTTCCACAACAGTGCTGCAGGAAGAGAAACGTGGTATGATCTTGTGCCCCCAAATGTTGCTGATTTCAGTAGTTCTGCAGCAGGCATGCTGTTGCAAACCAGGACAGTTTTTGTCTTCTGTGTTCTAATCCCCTTGGTATGCGGGTTCTTATCCCTGTGCTGTGGTGGGTGCCTTTGAATTCTGACCAGGAGAGGGCGCCCTTGTCTTGTCCCTCAAAGGGACTGTTTAGGCTTTGCTCCCTTAAGAGTAGAGTTTCCTATTATTCACTCAACAAATGTGTGCTGAGTAACTACTAAATTCAGGCATTGTTTTTGGCTCCTGGGACATGTCAGTGAGCCAGTTTATTTTTATTTTATGTTAATTACTTAAAATTAATTTATTTTTATTGAGGTAATATTGGTTTTACACCACTGTGTATGACTTAAGGGAATAGTTTCACACCTCCTCAGATACCCTAGGCCATTAGGTAAACTTCCTCCTGTCTCCCCTCCACCCGCCCCCCACTATCCCCCTCTAAAAGCCTTAATGCTGCAGTCATAGTTCTAGTTGTATTTTATTGTTGTTGTTATTTAGCTTTGCAGTGAACCAGTTTAAGAAGAAAATCTCAGCTCTGGTGGAATTCATACATATAAATTATCTAATTAATTTTATCCTGTCGAGGTATTGAATTTTATCTAATGCTTTTTCAGCATCTTTTGAGATATTATAGTAAGGATGTGATTTTTTTTTTCCTTAAACCCATAAACGTGGAAAATTACCCAGGCAGATTTTTTCTGGTGCTGCACCCTGCTATAAACCCTGCATGATACTGACATAGTAATTACGACACACATTGTTGTGTTTGGGTGTCTAGTGTTTTCTATAAGATTGTGTCAGTAGCTGTTCATTGGTGAATTCATCTGATTGGCTGCTGTCTGGTTTGACTTACAGGGGTGTGCTCTCCTCTTACAACGGGCTAAGTTTACTCCCAGCCAGAGCAGTCTTCCTTCAGCATTTTCTTTCCAGTAGAACCCCCTGATACTCCCTGGGATATCTTCACTTCAAAAAGTATCACAAGAAAGGATTCGATTATTTGCTTATTTGTTTATTGTTTGCTTCCCCCCAAACTATAGTCTCCCCAAGGGTAGAAATCTTGTGCATTGCAGTATCCTCAGCACTTAGAATAGTGCCTGGCATTTATGGGTGATCCGCCTTGCACAAGCGGATGCCTGGATCAGCCTCGAGCTTTTCCAGGCTAAGAGCTGAAGCCCATGAAGGGGATGTGGGGTCTCGCGCTATTGGTGGCTTTTCTGAACAGAATCCATCCAGCATCCTTTCCATTCACATAGGCTATCTATTAATTTAGTTATTGTTACTTCAAAGAAAATAAGAGAGAAAATATGAGAATATAAATATTTCAGTTGAAATTTGTAGGTATTTTTAAAATTAACATTTAGCTAAATGATACCATCTTATAGGCCAAAGGTGATTAATGTGTTTGTTCATTTAGTTCTTCTAGACAAAGTGATGAGTTTAGCAGACACGAACTACCAGTAATCTCTAATCCAGTCACACCTAGTATCAAGATACCTTGGAAATAACACTGTGGGAAAACAGTTCAACCAGATGTCTGAGCAGACCAACCCCACACGTTTCTGTCTATGTGACTTAAATTCTGGAGGAGAGATTTGTGGTAACTTTGAGAAAATTTGTAAGTCACACCTACTAATAACTGTTCTTTTTGAGGGGAGGGCTGCTGAATCCGATCGTACTTTAATTGATCCTATGGAAGACAGCTTTAGCAGAAAAAGAAAATGGAAATGAGAGACTTAATTACAAATGTAATGTCGCTTCTCTGCTATGAGGACACCAAAATAGACGATGAACACATTCTCTTCAATATTTATTCCTCTGATTTTCATGATAATTGGTTGGTCCCTGACTATAAAAGGGGAAACTTGGCAGAACAGATTACTCAGAGAAATAAGGATGCAAAACAGCCTGTATCTAAATTTACTCAGAATATGCCAACCTAGGTGCCTTCCCTCCATGCGCTGATTGGTCAAGATGAGGGCACCCGGGGTGGCTGGAAATGGGGGGCAGGGGACAAGGAGATCGTGGCAAGAGTTAGCTCGCTGGGGGTGCTGAAGGTGCTGATCCTCACCCAACAGCTGGAGAGAGGCTGGTGGCTGGTTGTAGGAGCAGCTCAGAGTTGGAGTCTGGAACACATTTTTCCTTCCTTTTGACATCTTCAGGATATTTAGTCAGCCCTCCTGTGTCTAAAATTATTGCCTGAGTCATTTGTCACTGATTCATCCCTTTAGCCTTGATGGGCCAGCACGGAGAGTGAGGCCTGCATTTGCACTGGAGTCAGCCGCTGCCACCATGGCTGGTGCCGTGTGTGAACACAGCACCCGTTGGCACCTTCTGGGGCTTCAGCATTCATAGACACCCCCAAACAAAGACTACTGCCTAACACCTAGTGCTATTAGCTTTTTATTTTCTTCGTGAGAAATTAAGAAACTAGCCCTAGTCCCTTAATAAAGCCCCATTGTCATCAGTAAGACTAGGCTGTGTTGCCCTAACAAAGAAAATAGGAATCCTCATGGGTTTAAGGCAGCAAAACTTTGTTCCCACTCATGCGTGTGTGTGTGTGTGTGTGTGTGTGTGTGTGTGTGTGTGTTAGGGGCTCTTCCGGTCCCTCTGGTCCTTACTTGGGTGATTCAGGGACCAAGGTGGCATCTGTCCCCTGGGTCTACCTTGTCAACACAGGGGCTCCAAGGAGAAGAGAGATTTGGGGAGCCCTCTGGCTCCGTGCAGCCCGGCAGGGAAAGTGATGCAGAGCACCAGGTCCACCAGGCTGCAGAGGCCGAGGCAAGCAAGGAAGCCGGGCTCAGCAGTGCATCTTTTAAGTCTACCACTGTCACTCCTGAAATGTTTAAATGAGCTATTACAAAACGCTTTTAGTGAAAACTAATCAGCCCCTCGCTCCTCCTCACCCCAGTCTCAAGTCCCAGATGAGCACAGCCAGCTGTTTCTCTTCCAAGTTATCTCAGCGCTCACACTCCTGGTCAGCCAAATTCTGAAGTGGAAGTTTCTTGATGTTTCAAGATGAAAGCACTACCTCATTTTTGCTACTTCTTTCATATTTAACCAGTGTTGTGGTTTCCCAGTGGTTGTTTTGTGCTGTTACAGACATCAACGCTCCATTTCTTGCTCTATCGGCGCTATGTCCTGGCACCTCCGGGCTGCCTGCCCTAACCTGGAGGCAGGAGCAGTCTTGGTGGGCCTTTGTCTTCCCTTCTGTACCTTCCCTGATCTGTCTCTGCCAACAGTAGCTTCTGGTTTAATGCACAAACATAGGGAAAAAGGTTGAATGAATTCCCCTACACTTATGATTGGCTGCAAAAATTACCAATCACGTGTATCCTATCCCATCAATTTTTTGGAGTATTTTTTGACATACAAAGGAATTTTTCTTCAGAATCACTGGAGACTAATTTGCTCAAATACACCATCAACCTGTATACTTGATGTGAACTTTTGGCAAACAGTTCCCCTGCGTGGCCATAGCTCAGCCGTCAAAATCCAGGTTGCATATGCACCGCCTAGTTCACAGCCTGTTTGCACTTCTCAGTGGCCCCAGGGGTCCACGCAGAGTCATGTCTCTTTTGACTGCTTCAACGTGGACCAGTTCTCCTGGTTCCCTCATTCTGGGGCCACTTGACTGTGGTCGACTGTGCTTTCCCTTGTAATTAATACACGTTGGGGGAGGTGCCTTCAAACTCCATAAATACTCTCTTCCCAATCCGGGCTTCGGTCTCTCCATTTTTATTTTTAATTAGAGCTTGCTGTTTTATCCAAAATCACAGTGTAGATCTTGATGCATCTTCACGCTGGTTTCTGTGCTTTTTGAAATGTCACCATTCCTTCAGCACCTCTTCCTTTTGACGTAAGACTGTACTAAAGGCGTATCTTTCTCTGGTCTGACGCAAACAGCCGCTTTTCTGCAAGAACTTGGCCTGGTTCTTTTTCATTGGGATACCAAGACCTGAGCATGCTCGTTCCTGCTGGGAGTGTGTTTGTTCCCTGCTTTGTAAATGGACAGTGTTAGCACCTGTGCACACACCTATTTCTAAATTTCTGTATATGTCAGAAGCCATAAGTTCTCATTTTTTTCCAACTCCAAAGTGATATCCCAAAATTCATTTTTTAATCTGTTAAAACACATAATATAAAATGTACCACCTTCATCACTTTTAACTGCACAATTCAGTGGTCTCCAGAACCATATCTTGCAGAACTCAAACTCTATCCCTTAAGCAATTACTCCCCATTTACCGCTCCCCTTAACTTCTGGAAACTGCCATTCTACTTTCTGTCTC